CATTTAAATCTTCTGGCTTACTAGTTAGGTCCCTGATCCGATTATATAGACATCTGACTAAAATCTGTGTTTACCGATTCTGGATGGGGTGAATTAAAGTCTAGTCGAAGTATTTACTAGTGTGTTTGTCAGTTTCCTGTAAATAGTGGTACCTAACCCAACATCGTGGTTTTTGTTTTTATTTTACAGTCTATCACGACCAGTTCATCTTGTTCATTTGCTAGCTCATAGGTGAACATGGTGAACAAGGTTAGCCATTAAAGACTTTATAACAAATCCAAAGCAAGATACAATCCAACGACTGTTTGCAATTGAATTATCTTATTCAGAAAAAGCAACAGATTGAGCGACAAAATACGCATTCCTTTTCAATTAATTACTCACCATCATATCTGCACTAATATGTAGCTTTTTACATTGCAACCTTTTACCAATCAAGCGGTTATTTTAGTTAATCAGTTTTAGACATAGGGGATGGAATTAAGAGGCTAAAAGTCATGAAAACATCAACAAACTAATAGATGTTAGTAACAAGATATCTAAGTTTAAAACGAGAGGAGAAAAATAATTACGGAATCCAAGATAAGTTGATTCTTAGGCGTTAGCAACAAGTTATTACATAATCAAGAAATTTGTAAAATAGCAGTGATGACTAAGAAGAATTATGCAAAATACAGACAAGTAAATGGAATTGGCTAGCATTGTAAAGATTAACAAGGCCAAAAGATAGTTACAAGGGGAGGGGGAGAAGCGTTTTTAAAAACTGAATTTACCACATGTAGTCGGCCATGGTAAAGAAAGGGAATGTACAGATTTCGTTTGATCTGATGCCCAGTTTTGTCTTGTTCAGATGAATTCCGATTTCCTCCTCTGCTGTATGTTAAAGTCGTAATCATAGACAGTGTGGCAAGAGGTTTGGTGAAATACGGTAAATAACTTTAAAAGCTTTGTTACAGTCAACTTGATGTCCAGTCAGTGTCAAAGAGATGAGCTACTATTGAGCTGAGTATACCAGCTTTATTCGAACCTATGCCAAACGAGGATGAGACGTGTTCAGAAATTTGACGATGAAATCGTCTGATCGTGCGCCCTATATAAATGACTCAGCATGGGTAAATAAATTTTGATGTAAAAAACTATATATAAGTGTAGAGCTGATGATGAAAATCTCATTGAAAACGAATGCATATTTCTTCGCTCAGTCTGTTGTTTTTTCCTGAATGCTGAAATATAAATTCAGAAATCACTAAAAAAGTTACTTTCAGGCACATTACAAGGAATTAATATATTCTTGTATGACATTTCCTTCAATCAAAATCACAATTTTTACTAATTTACTGACTAAAATCACTGATGAACTGTTGCTTAGTTTACGCAGTCCTTCCATCATCGATCTATAGGACTTTTGGTATCATCAGTAAGGTGTTTCTTCTGCAATTAACAGAAGATTAAACGGTTTCATATTCATATTATTCATTCACTAACTTAGAAGTACAAAGATGTAGAAGAAAACCCGTGGTAACTATGTCACAAACTTAAGAACACGTTTTCTAGGCATGTGTAGTTTATAACGGTCAGTTGAGTAGTAGTGTATTGACGTGTATATTTCAACAAGTTTGCTTATCCTTGATGGGTGGCTTATGATTGTGTATCAGTGTTCCACAAACACTCAGGCTTAGTAGCTGTTAATAAAGCGTCAATAGGTATGTGCTATGAACCCGTGTATCACCTCTTTAATGCATTGGAATCAGTGTGTATATGTGTGCGTTTCAGTCAAGCTTTGGTGGTCATTAGTGACATTTAGTAAAGCATATTCAAGAATCAACCTGTTTAGTAACCAAGTACTTAGGGAAAACAGAAGGTATATCTCGTAATCTTGGCTTCCCACATTTCTGGAGGGAGAGAGTTAGAGATACAAATGTTTTTAATTTACTTGTGTTCTGTAAGTTGGTTGAGTTAATTGCGAAGGTTTGGTTATTCTTCTAGACAACATCTTCAGTGCGGGTTATACTGCGATATAAACTGGTTCAGTGAACACAACTGAATGGAAATCATCCACCTAAGCTAAAAGTCTGATCCATTACCTCAAAGATCCATATGCTTCAGAGCAGTTGACAAGTGAAGTGTTGTCCTACAGGAGGTCAGTCGTGAGATCAGATAGTTCAGTGGTAACGTCTCTGATTGCAGCATTGGATGACGTGGGCTCAAATCTTAGTGGGCACTTGAGTTCCTTCAAGGCGGTTGCATATACGCCTACCTTGCTGACTGGTGAGTGCCAACTACCACGAAACCTAGATCCGCCAATGCTTCCAGACGATTGCCCCCAACCATCTAGTATTCTTAGGTTTCTATCACGCAAATAATTTAGTGTGACAGAAATGTGGTCAAAATCAAACGTAGCTTGGATAATTAAGAAGCCAGTCAAGAAGCAGGAGTAAATAATGGGTAGATTACAGATGCATTTCATCCTTTAGAAATCGACATTAGACTTACGGAAGAAAAAACCGTGAAAGGCTTATCTTAATGGCATACTCTTGTGGTCATAAAATTGAAGCATTTAGAAAGCAGAGGATAAGTTGAACGATAAAACCTTTACTTGAAGAAAAACGGCAGAAGAATAAGGTGTGTCACTGAAACGTCCGGTCCACATGCAACTTCGACATGGAAAAGAAAAATCACAAACGTGATCCATTTGTTGAACCACAGAACCCACAATATTTGTAGCCTTGACAGCGTGGAATAAGAGCTGAAAGCGCTCAGAAAGATTCTTCTTTGGAATTGCCACCTGAAACGATGAATCCAAAAATCCATGAAGCCTACATCACTTAAACCGTGCACACTTTCTGCCTCACAAATCTCTTACATTTTGATATGTAACTGAATGGAGAGTCATCGACAAACATACTAAGAAACCGCCTGTCCAACTTATTCAAGAAAACCTTCGCAGCTGGACTACATATTATTTTTTTAATACCAATACTAACTATCCTCCCCACTCCACTATTGCAGTTTAGTTGAGTGCTACTCGGTTCTGTCGAATGTATTGCATTGCTCAATTTACTTATTTCCATATCAAAGTGTCGGTTTGCAGGGATTTGATTGGTTTCAGGATTCCATCATGAGCTGACATCGATTATAGAACTATTGGAATAGCAGATGAAAGTACTGGACAGCTGTTTCGTCGGCCTAGTTTAGGATTCTCCGCCGGGGTTCGAAATAATGGACAGTCCATGAATTCTAGCTTCTGCCAATTCACTATACGGTACAATCACTAAGGAATGTGGTCGCTAGCGAGTATTTATCACCACATCAAACCTGCTTTCCCCCAGGCTACTACTTAACTGTAAAGGACCAGTTACTGTTGAACATCAGACTATTATTAGAGTGTTGGTTCGCAGGGATTTAAGGTTATTTATGTACGCGTTATTATTATTTGTTTAAGCTGAGTTAAGTTTCTATCCAACCAACGCCTTCTTATATTGCCTAAATGTAGTGTAAAACGTACAATTTTTAGTGGCTTATCTCTGGAAAAATTACTTTTGTATTTTTGAAAATTTGATATACATATGCAACCGTACACTCTGGGAATAATATCGCTGAATATCTTTTTTCTTGATATGACTAAATGGGGATTTTTAAGTTGCTTAAACAACGAAAAACCCCATAATTAAAGAAAATTCTTACGATAAACGCAAATATGCCACACTTGAAAATTCACAGAGTGAGGAATGTGAGTTACATGTTTCCCAGGTTAAAATGACCAAATTTTATTAGTGCATGTAAAATACTGTAGAGAAGTCAGTCGTTAACTGAAAATAGTTCACCGTTTTCGATGAAGTCTCACAGAGTGTTATACAGTAATATTTACTGATGACGATGTTTTGAACAGAATTTAATACTGCTCATAATCATATCAAGTAGTTCACCTCACTTACAGTCATTGTCATTTTTTTTGTAAATTATATTATTTTGTCTAATTGGGTCAGCCTACAGGGCTTGTCCTACCTGAATGAGTTTGTAGATTTAAATATTGCACTAATTCCTACTTTGGTTACAGGATTACATCATGAGTTGACAGAGGTTGGAGAACCATTGGAAAACCTGGGAGTACCAGTGATGAAATCCTGTAACCAATCAATCAAATACCTACAAACCAATGCTGGAGTTCTTACCTTATTAGGAATCCTACGCAGGGTTTCAGAGGTCTCCTCCTCATGCAGTATAACTGTAGATGCCATCTGAGACCCTACGTAGGATCCCCAACTAGGGTGGCATTTAAACCTAAAAACTCACTCAGGTAGGACAAGCTCCGTAGGTTAAAGGACCCTGTGGGTTGACCTAATTAAACAAAATAGTATAATTTACAAAATACCTTGCAATGACTGTGAGTTACGTCAGCTACATAGGTCAAACTAGTAGGCCAGGTGTAGTCAGATTGTCAGAAGACAATAACCAAGCAAAGTTCAGAATGATTGACCCTGAGAAGACAGATGAGTAATTTGGGAAGGAAATCAGCAATTGCGCTGCCTGCGCTAACACTCAAACACACAACAGTGTGAGATACAGTAACAATTCTTAAAAGGAATATAGGCAGGTGGAGAGCGAGACAAGTAGATTACTGAATCTTTGTTCATCGCATCTACACTCAACACATGACTCATCGCCAATACCAGAAATGTGGAAATTATTACTACCAATCAAGTCAGGCGATGAAAAATAATGAAATTATACAAGCGAAGTCGGAAAGTTGTTTGAGTAACTTGATGTGGTTATGAGCGGCAATGAATGGTCCTCAAAACGTGGTCATCAGTAAATATTACTCTATAACTCTGCCAGACTTTATCAAAATAAATTTGATTCGCAATGGAATATTATACTTTACTACGGTGTGCAAGTTCTATTCTAATGCCTTTGAGATACACCGTTTTTCACATTTAAGCACACATCAATATTAGTAAATTCTGTGTGTAACTCATATTTTAATTTTATTTTAATTTTAGATATGGCTAAAGATCCAAATATTTCATAGAAGATGCAGCATTATATCAAAAGAAAATGTCCAACAAACTTGCGTTCAATATCTGTTGAACAGTTTCGCGGGAAAATAAAATTCAAAACTTGTATGCAATGCATATATTAAAAAAGAATAAGTTATAATAAATGCAATTCATGCCTACTTACTTGTGCCTTGTCTTTTTTTCTTTATTGAATTACGCCTACTTTAATTAAAATGAAACCAATAAAACTTTTATGTTCCTTATTCAGTTTTCATTAATGTAATTAACTATTCATGAAAAATTCCACATTCGAACATTAATAGACAGAAGACAAGTAGTTCAGCGAAGAGTCTCTTTTCGGCGAATACATTTTCATAGCTGTACAATCGCAAATATATATGGTTGTTTTGTATGTGTGCACACTAAACTTGTCAAACGAAAATACAATTAGTAAGTTCAGATGAATTGGATGTTGATATAAGAGATTAGTAACAAAAGTGATGAGTTGTCACAAACGACTGTTAAAGAAGAGTTACGTAATAACATGAATAGTTTAATGAAAGAGTTGTACTCAGCGTGTACACGGAAACAAAATATACGGAATTACACAAGGGTTTTGAGTAGAAAAATAAGCATACAAACAAAAGTCAAATCAAACAAACAAACAAAGAAAAGTTAAGTCACATCAACACAATTGTTACCATGGGAGTAGAAGTGGTTGAATAATTTTCTTTTGTATACACAGTTCTGGTTCCTCTAAGTCAATGGCTAGGGCTTCTGTGATGCTAAGAAGATGGAATCGTACTGCCTTTGGAAGGTTGTTCTTCACTTTGTAGATTACTTTGCAGGAGGCGTTTGTTGAGACTGAATGACCAGTGTTGACGAGGTGTTCGATTATTGCACTCCTTATGCAGCCATTACTTCCTTTCTGTAGCCACTCTGGATAGAGTTCTTTGATTCTTTTTGACAGGATATGCGTTGAACGACTGATGTACCTGGCTCAACTGCAACAGGTGAACGGATATATACACATAGAAATGGTCAGTTGCGGGATCTTGTCTTTTGGGCTTCTGCAGATCAGCGAGCGACTAGAGAAGACTACTCTCAATGTTGCCGCAAAGAAAATTCTTCTTAAAGGGGTGGAGATTCTCCTTCTAAGGACGTCACTGAGTAGGTCTCCCTTGAAGTCATGGTTCATATAAAGTATCTTTTTTGGCACAGATGCTGTTTCTTGCCTTTGGATTTTTTGTTTGATGTTTTTGTCTACGAATCTTGATGGGTAACCGTTTTGTATGAAGGTTTCTTTGAGGAAGTTTAGTTCTTCCTCCATGGTATCTGAGCTGCAGATGCGTCGGATAATTAACTATTACCAGTATATCTCAGTAGATTATGAAAAAGTTAAAAATACTTTGATTGGACAGTAGTCACTGACTAGCGTAGTGTATCTAGTCCTCCTATGTGTTTGATGCAGACTGAATTCTATCAGTCAAGTTTGCAGTGTGACCGCCATGCCATTAGGTGGCTTCCCATCACGGTGCACTTTGAATTGTCAATATTACGTATTTCGGTTTAATCGGCAAGGCATCCTGACGACAACAACCTCTTAACCAATGCAAAAATTTGTTGTGATTTCCAGATAACATTTCGGTTAATAACTTGCTGCGAGATTTGATTAAGGAGCCTTCCACTTAATCACTGGTCACCTGAATTAATCACACGAGAATATAAGAAAAATATCTAAGATTGAATATGAGACATCAGTCAATGGGTGAAATTAGTTAGAAATATGAAAACATTTGTGTCATAACGCTAACCTTGTTCAATTCCTTGACTGAACGGTAGTGAGCACTGCTCAGATGCTTTCTAAGGAGCTTATATATTTTTGGGTTACATTTGAGTGGTGTGTTTTACATCTGGATCAGAGAATATTGTCTTTTACTGAAATATAGTCTCAAATAATGGTAGACATGTTTTTTTGTGATTCTTTTACGTTTCTCAGTGGAACACAGACGGCTTCAAGCTAGAGGCTTGAAGTTTTGATAGCAGTGGTGTTTTCTTCTTTTAAGGGATGGGGTTGCTAGCCTATTGCCTAACCTCCCCACTTTGCCAGTCTCGTTACTGACTTAGTGAGGTAGGGGATCGAATCCTGGAGCAAATGCGTGGTTGGCGAGTATTCTAACTCTGCGACACCGATGCATGTGTGATTGGTGTTTATCTTTTGAGGTATTTGGACCTTTGGGTCGAGCAATAGTGAAATAAACAATTCATATGAATTGTGACCAAGAATTGACCGAACAGTTACAAAATGGTTTGGCGCCGAGTGAGAAGTAGACATATGTAAAAAATATGTATTTGTAAAATCTCAGTGAAAGTGAAACTAGTAATTCCAACGTCTCCTGTGTCTGGCAAACGAGCCCAAGGTTCTTCAGGGAAATTAATCGATATTACCATAAAAGACGTTTATATACATAAAGGACACCTCTTGTCTTTACAAACTTTCGCAAATCATATTAGTTAGTCATGAGTCATCCAAATATAATAAATAAAATTGCATGAACTATGATCAAGATTTCACCTCAGACTTCTGACAAATATTATTTTCTACTTTTGTTCAACACTGTAAACAGTATGTACGTTTGCATCACAATTTTAGTGATTACGTTCGACTAACCATTGTGGTCGTAGATAACAGCATATGAAAAATATGTATGTATATGTGGTGATGCCATATATGTAGGAGAAATATCCAGATAGGTAAATGTAAAAGTAAGGGAGCATGAACACTGTTTATAGGTGGTTATAACGACTTCTGCAGATTTGAAGAAGAGGCATTATTATCTGTATAAAAGTCACATTTTCCTTCATATTTCCTGACTAATTTATTAGGGTAATTATTATGTTTCAAGGCTTCTCTTATATATCTCACTTCCTGTTTTAGATTTTCCTTGGTACCACTTAGTTTTTGTGCCCTACTGTCACTTAAAAATTTCATCAATCCTATTTTCGCTAACAAATTCACTGTACTTAAAACACAGGATGTAGATAGATTTTTCGATCACATTAACTCAATGGCGGAGGCAATTTAATTCACTTATGAATTGGAAAATCAGGAAGGGGAACTTCCAATGTTAGATTGTAGCGAAAAAAGGAAAGAAGATGGGAAGTTAAACACTAGTGTGTTTACAGGAAACCCACACATTCAAACAGATATTTGGATTTCCGATCATCCCATCCTATGTCAGTAAAAAAAGGATTAATGAGATGTTTAAGTGACAGAGCACAGAAACTAAGTAGTACCAAGGAAAATCTAAAACAGGAAGTGAGACATATAAGAGAAGCTCTGAAACTTGATAATTACCCTAATAAATTAGTCAGGAAATATGTAAGGAAATGTAAGAATAAAATAAATAATGATAGTAGTGATAGTGATAATAATAATATTATTAATGACGACATGCAAATCAAATGTGCGCAAGACAACGCCAACAATAAGGAGTCTAAATCATCAGTAGTAATTCCATACAAGGAAGGAACCTCTGAAACCACCTTACGCAGAATTTTCAACAAAGCAGGCAGGAATAAAAGTGGCATTCAAACCCAAAAACTCAATTAGAAACAAGCTTTGTCGGTTAAAGGATCAATCCTGTACAGACAATTAAACAAAGCAATTTAGTTTATTTAATACCCTGCTTGAATGACTGTTGGGTCAAATAAATAGGTCAAAGTAGTAGAGCAGCGGCAGTCAGACTAGCTGAACATAAAAACTTAGCAAAGTCTAGATTAATTGATCCAAATAAGATAAGAAATCTAGAGAATAGTTCAGCTATAGCACTACATGCAGTTACACACAACCATACAATAGGATGGGATAGGATAAGATGACAGTTTTGAAATCTAATGTGACAGAGTGGAGAGAGAGATTGATAACAATGGGGGCTTTGTTTATCGAATCAATTGCAAATATGTGTCATAGGAATGATTCAACACCTGTCCACTCGGATATCTGGAAAATTATATTACCCCCCACGATGACAAATTGGAGAAGACAAAGAAAACTATAAAACTCAAGTGTCAAAGTCGTGTGATTACATTTGATGGAATGATTATGAACAATGAATAAATTTTGTTCGAAACGTCATCCAGTAAATAATAATACTGTTTCATTGTGTGATACATTTAAGCAACCAACTGGTATGGAAGGTTAGAAAACAGATCAGCGATTGCATTGCACTCGATAGAAATGGGATACAAGATCGATTTGGATTGAACGCAGGTTGTACAGATAGGTGTTGGTTTGTATAATGAAAGACTGACTGCGGAAGCCCCACATATGTACGTGGATCCGAAATGTTTGAATGGACGTGAAAGTGTGATCTTGTTAGCTGATGCATGGCAAGTTCTGATTGATAAATCAAAATGGATATGTATCACTAATTAATCATACTTGATCTTAGTTCCCGATTGTCTGTGTCTTGTTATGGAGAGGCTAACAGATGATTTACAATTGTTGCCGCGTACCCGCATATGCACACATCATTTTATACTGCATATAGACATATTTCCACATTCAGCTGTCTCATATGATTGGACAAAGTTTTTAGAGACAAGAGATGCTATTTTTATGCAAAAACCCCTGTTATTTTAATTTTGATTAATTTCCATGACGAAGTTGGGACCAGTTTGTCGGATGCAGGAAACGTTGGAATTATTTATTTCAATTTCGCTGAGATTTTACAAATATAATTTCTACATGGAGAAATAAATTATTAAATAAAATGTGTTTCTAGAGACCGCCGGATGCATTTGTAGATGATTTATGACTCCAGTGTGAAGGTGGGAAAGTTTTTCTTGCCTAATAATTTCCTTTCAGTTGTAACGACGGTTAACAAGAACACTCCAATAAGAGATGACCTGATGTTTTTAGTTAGGAATTTACAAGCAAAATCGATATTGAACGAAACAGCGTTTTTAAATAAGGATAACAACATCTTCATTCTGGATGTTATTTGTAAAATGTACAAAATTTTCAGAAGAGTTTATTGCATGATATTCTCTCCCTTTGTACTGGAACACATTGTCACCCGCAGTCAGGCCATTCCTCAAGTTTAGTAGGAACTTGCGAATCAGAAGTTCTTACGGCCTTTAAATACACACAAGAGTAGAGATAATACCATTAGAAGTCATATCTTAATAGATGGAAACAAACCGAATGACAGAAAATAAATGCCACAGAG